AAATGGGAGAAGCCGGCTATAGTGGTTTCGTTTTTCTCTTCTGATCGGGAAAATGAGTAGAGGCCGGGCAACATCAGGCAGGAGTGAAGAGGGAAACATGCGGCCATGACGGAGGGACATGATGATGAGATTGGGTTCTTGATGACCAGGGCGGAAAAGGTCTCGGGATCCAAATGCAATGGGAGGGAGAGGAGGCGGGGGAGTAAGGACGAGGGAAAAGGAAGATGGGTGTGGCAGTCATTGGGGATTTAAGATCGAGGCGACGCAGGACAAGTGCAGCCATTGCAGGGAGATGGGATCAGGTGGAAGGAGGATGGGTGCCACATTTGAGGGAAGGGTGCAATCAGACTCGCTTTCACTTCCACTGCATACACGCAAACAGATGGTGATTCACTCAGGCGCAGAGCGCCCACTCAAAGCTCAGAGATATGGAAATTGAGAACACAGTTCAGATGCAAATTCACTTCAAACAGGCTATGGCGCATCGGCGCCTGTACATCTCAACCTTCGTCACTGTGTCCAACACCACCCTTCACACATACTCAACTCTGGATCACCCTGAATACCGCCACACACACACACTAACCTATCTTCTTCCAATCGCGGCTATGGCCTCTCTACCTCTACTAACTATGGCTACGATCTCACTCTTCAGCCCACTTCAGCTTCGGGCAACCTGCAGACCACCTTCGCACAAGACGCTGTAGCAGCGCTTCCGCATGGCTTACGCAGCGAATGAAAGAATGGCTGGGCGCTGCCGACTCGATGTCGTCGCACTGCCGACTCAGTGCAACTGGGCTCACCACTTGCCCACTGACTCTGATTAAACGTGAGACAACTTCGAAAGGCCACTTCCGCACCTTCCGGAAGTCTGTGGACTTGGCTTTCGAATACTGTAGCAGCTACGACCGTGACCTTTCAGGACTGTAGCAACTACGACCTTGACCTTTCAGAACACACACAGCTACGACCTCTACAGAGCTGTGACCCCTACTCAACAGATCTACAGATCGAACCCCTACAGCTACACAGACCTACGAAGGATTAGGCGGTTGCGCTAGGGGAGGAGGGTCAGAGGAGAGGGAGGAAGTCGCACGAGGGGGAGGAGGGGGTCGGGCGAGGGGTAGGAGGAGGTCGCGCAAGGGGGAGGAGGAGATCGGAAGACGGAGTGGGAGGGGGAGGAGCAGTTCGCACAAGGACAAGCAAGAGGCTGCACAAGGAGGAAGAGGAGGTGGCACAAGGGAGAGGAGGAGGTCGGAAGAGGGGGAGGAGCAGGTCGCACGAGGAGGACGAGAGGTTGCAGCGGAGGTCGGAAGGGAGGTTGGAGGAGGTCGCACGAGTGGTTTGAGGAGGCCGGTCGAGGACACATGAGCGAGAGGAGGTGGTGTAAGGAGGAGGAGGAGCTGGATGAGGTCTGAAGAGAGGTGTGAGAAGATCGCGCGAGGGGGAGGAGGACGCCGTGCAAGGGGGAGGAGTGGGTCGTGGGAGGGGCAGGTCGCACGCTGGGGACGAGAGGTTGCAGGAGGTCATGCGGCAGGGGAAGGAGGAGGTCGTGCTAGGGGGAGGAATTAATGCGAGCGGGAGGGGGTCGTGAGGAAGGACGAGGACATCGCAATAGGGGGAGGAGGTTGCACAAGGGGGCGCACGCACACATATGAGAGAGAGAGAGAGAGAGAGAGAGAGAGAAAGAGAGAAAACTGGCATATCTTCCTCCAAATGTCGAGAAGATGTCGTTGGCCTTTTTTTGGGGGGTGGTAATTGGCCAAATTCGCCCATAAGTTGGGATATATGTCAAAATGTCCCTGAAAATTGGGCGCTTTTTTTGCAATTGCACCCACAAAAAGTCGGCAACTACCGGGGCATCTTGCAAAGTTGGACGGTGTCTGGTAGGGTACATTGCAAAGATGGGGTCCAACCGATGTCTGGGGTGTTTTGCAAAATGGTTTTGCTGTCGTCCTTGACCGCAGCTAAGGGGTCCACTCGTTAGTATAATGCGTGGAAGATAAAAATTACTGCGGGGCATTTCCAACAGCATTTCCAACAGCATTTCCAACAGCATTTCCAACAGCTAAGGTGTTACATGCTGAAAGCCTACACACGGGCCCCTCACGGGACCCGAGGTTGGAATAGGGCCCCCAGGCCGCGTCACCGCAACCTGAAGGCCCTATGGCATTTTTACTTGGGCCTGCATCAGAAAAACGCCAGCTTTAGATTATTTTTATA